TGACCCCTCGACAGCCAGCGGGCAGAGGCCCTGCTCCTCATGGCACATTCAGCCAGCACCCACCAGAGCTCCAGCCATGGAGCTGTGGAACCTTCCCTGGAAAATGAAAAAGGGGTACGTGCAGCAGGGGCAGAGCCTATGGGAAATGGCTTTGATTTTGCTCAGAGAAGTCTCCCCTAACTTCTTGTATTTTCCTCCCTGAACAGGTTCCCATGCCCAGAGGGACCAAATGTCCAAGAGCAGCTCCATCACCAAGTTCCTCCTCCTGCAGCTCGCAGACACGCGGGAGCTGCAGCTCTTGCACTTCTGGCTCTTCCTAGGCATCTACCTGATTGCCCTCCCGGGAGATGGCCTCATCATCACAGCCATAGCCTGTGACCACCGCCTGCACACCCCCATGTACTTCTTCCTCCTCAATCTCTCCCTCCTCGACCTGGGCTCCATCTCAACCACTCTCCCCAAAACCATGGCCAATTCCCTGTGGGACACCAGGGCCATCTCCTACTCGGGATGTGCTGCACAGGCTTTTTTTTTCTTCTTGATCACAGCAGAGTATTCTCTCCTCTCTATCATGGCCTACGACCGCTATGTTGCCATCTGCAAACCCCTGCATTATGGGACCCTCCTGGGCAGCAGAGCTTGTGTCCACATGGCAGCAGCTTCCTGGGCAGTGGGTTTCTCACTGCTGTGCTGCACACTGCCAGTACATTTTGCACACCACTCTGCCAAGGCAATGCTCTGGACTAGTTCTTTTGTGAAATCCCCCAGATCCTCAAGCTCTCCTGCTCACACTCCTACCTCAGGGAAGTTGGGCTTATTGTGGTTGGTGCCTGTTTTTCATTTGGATGTTTTGTTTTCATTGTGCTGTCCTATGTGCAGATCTTCAGGGCCATGCTGAGGATCCCCTCTGAGCAGGGACGGCACAAAACCATTTCCACATGCCTCCCTCACCTGGCCGTGGTCTCTGTGTATGTCAGCATTGGCATATTTACCTACCTGAAGCCCCCCTCCGTCTCCTCCCCAGTTCCAAATCTGGTGGTTTCATTTCTGTACGCAGTGGTGCCTCCGACAGTAAACCCCCTCATCTACAGCATGAGGGAATCAGGAGCTCAAGGATGCCCTATGGAAACTGACCCAATGGACACTGTTACACTGACAATAACCTGCCTCCTGTTCTCTGCACGTTTCAGAGTTTCTCACAACAAGCAGAATTGTGAGATAAAAATATTAAAGACCATTCCTCTCACACTTTCTCCCAGGCTCAAGTTACTCCATTGTTCCCGATTCATCTACCCACCCATATCCCAAAATGAGCAGGGGAGATGGTGAAGAGGGTGTTAACAGTCAGTAAAGAACATCTCTGCTGCTCCTTCCTCCTCACACTTCTCCCCTGCTCCAGCTTGGGTCCTCTCCATGGGATCCCATCATATTTGCAGTCAAGGCTATGTGTTGTTCATTTCTTTCTGGTTTACTTTTCTCCTTTATACTCAGAGAATCACGGAAATGTTGAGATTGGAAGGGACCTCTGGACAACATCTAGTTCAAACCCCCAGCTGAGGCAGGGTCAGCTAGAGCAGGTTGCTCAGCAGCTTGTCGAGGTGGCTCTCGAGTATCTCCATGGATGGACACTCCACAACCTCTCCGGGCAACCTGTTCTAGTGATTGACCACCCTCACAGTCAAAAAGTGTTTTCTTGAGTTCATATGGAATTTTATATATATTAATAAGATCCCTCCAAAACTTTTCTTCTCCAGATTGAACAGTCCCAGGTCTCTCAGCCTTTACTCCTATGAAAGATGCTGCAGTCCCTTAAACCAGCTTTGTGGCCCTTTGCTGGACTTGCTTAAGTAGGTCAACAACTTTCTTGGACTGGGGAGCCCAGCACTGGACACAGCACTCCAGATGTGGCCTCACCAGTGCTGAGGAAGGGTCCCTCCCTCCATCTGCCAGCAATGCTTTTCCTGACATAGAAGAGGAGGCTGTTGGCCTTTGCCACGAGGGTGCATTGCTGGCTCATGCTCAGCTGCTTGTCCTCTGGGATCCCAAGATCCTTCTCTGCAGAGCTGCTATCTAGCCGGTTATTGAGGTTTAACCCCAGCAAGCAACTAAACACCACACAGTCACTCACTCACCCCACCCTCCCCACACCAGCAGGATGGGGGAGAGAATCAGAAGAGCAAAAGTGAGAAAACTCGTGGATTGAGATAGAAACAGTTTAAAAGGTAAAGCAAAAGCTACACATGCAAGCAAAGCAAAGCAAGGAATTCATTCACTACTTCCCATCGGCAGGCAGGTGTTCAGCCATCTCCAGGAAAGCAGGGCTCCATCACGCTTAACTGTTACTTGGGAAGACAAATGTCCCATAACTCCAAATGTCCCCCCTTCCTTCTTCTTCCCCTAGCTTTATATTGCTGAGCATGACGTTATATGGTATGGAATATCCCTTTGGTCAGTTGGGGTCAGCTGTCCTGGCTGTGTCACCTCCCAAATTCTTGTGCACACCCAGGCTACTCGTTGGAAGGATAGTATGAGAAGCCGAAAAGGCCTTGACTTTATGTAAGCACTGCTCAGCAATAGTGAAAACATCCCTGTATTCTCAACACTGTTTTCAGCACAAATGTCTTTCGTGGAGATCAGCTCCACCTCTCTCAGAGGCCCCACAGTGCTGCAGAGTCACCTGGGACACAAACCCCTCTCCCGCCAGGGCTGCACAGGCCAGGCCTGTTCTCTCTGGCCTTGGGGACTGCAGCTTTTGCTCTCTTTGTGGGAACCTCATTCATCATTTCGAAGTAACTA